TGTTTAGGTGCACTCTCACTATCGATCAGCAGCAGGCGATGAAGAGGATCCATACTGTTTACAACGATTCGGCGTACATTCGTGTGAAGTCGATTTGAATGGGAAGCAAGCCAAATCATTAGTGTTAAATTTATATCCACCTTCAACATTTCATTCCGAAGGATACGGCAGACTTCAAAGTGTACGAAGACAAACTTCACTGCCTCCCACTAAAATTCTGAGCACGGCTGACAGTTCGATTAGTTCTGACATCGAGGATTATCCTCCCCCACCTGGTGAGTTCATTTTGAAAATTTCTTAGTTATCAGTTTAAAATTTGCTGATGTAATTAAGCTTGCTTAGTAGTAGGTAATACCTATGACAAATGTTGAGTAAAGTCGGTCTTAAAAGCATAAACATTTAGCTCCTTTGGCGTGTGAAGGGTCGATTCGAGTGTTACGATCAGTTTTCGACGAATCGGCTGTAGCGGCTGCAGGATCAGAATCAAGAGGTGATGAGCTTTTTGAACAGCACTACTTCAACGGGCGTGTTTCGTCGTCTTTAAATGAGCAACTTCCATTCGCAAATGATAACTGCGAGACGATAAGAAGTCGAGACGGTTCGTCAGTGGCGCGTGAGGAGAAATTGACGGCTAGTATTAGTGTGTCACAGCCGTGCATACCACTTCGTGATTTTCATGGCGTTTTCTCCGACGATACTGTTTTGTGCAGGTAAGCGGTACTGCTTCAAATGAATGTTGTTTTAAGCTACTCGGCCAGTCTTTTTCACGTTGTGTTTTCTTCGAAACTGTTATGTAAGGAAGCGGAGCTAAAATTTGCCATCTAGAACAGTCAAATTATTTTAAAATGTTAGATGCAGTTATAAACGCTTGATTTCTAGTTTTAACCACGCTTATGCACTTTAGAGTCGAATCATTCAGTTAAAAAGCAAGACTACAGCTTCTGTACTCGTTCGCCAAGTGTTTTGGGATCCCTGATTGTCATATACGTTTGTGAATAAAAATTATTTTGATGTTATTTCAGTTACTCACTGATGGCGAGCAATGGCGAT